CAAATGACATCAAATCCTTGAGATATGAATCAATAGGGTATAATCGATTGCGCACAAAGCTTTATGTTAGCTAAGGTGGATTCAAATTTATCCCCTTAGATAAATATCCATCCCAGTTCTATTAGGTACCCTTGGACGAAGCAACCATGGCTGTCGACAAGGATACTTATGTCAGGTTGGGTCAACTACCTCCTTTAACTAAGTAGACCAGGGACAATGATGACCCAAAATGACGGAACCATGGGATCTTGATCGGGTTCATCATCCATTCCCCCACCATCTGCTTTAAATGCAAGATGGTAAAATTTTCAATTTTAAATATCAAACTCTCAAATACCCAAACCTATGCTGCTACGATATGCCAAATACTATGTATCTCTACGTATCTGATTGGCGACTAGCCTTAATCGAAAGTTCTCTTTTGTTATCGGGAGAGGTAATTAACTATATGGTCTTGCGCCTATAGGAAACAAGAACTCAGATCATAAAGTCCTGTCAAAATGAGGGTGATATCTCTGGGTAGTGTCTTATCTACAAACTTATCTGCCTTCTTAAAATTTACCTCAGAACTTAATCCATTAAAACTCCCTGAAAAGCAACAGGGTGGCCAGGGCTGAATTTTCAGAGCCCACACTGAAATGAAGGAAGCCACCGGTGGCCAAGGAAGAGGAGGAAACCTTATTCGATTTAGGGGAGGGAAGAATTAAGAGGTGGATATTTTGAAGGGAGAAGATGAAATGCCTCGGTTAGAGCCTATTTTTAGGGAGGAGAAGACTATCGGGTTCGAGCGAAGAGGTGGATTATGAGTGTCAAATTGTTAATTTTGAAAGGAGGGAGAATTTTGAAGAAGGATTTTGGTTTAAGCCCATAAGGGAAGATCATGACACCTGGGGAGCATCTCCTCGTTGTGGAATGGAATGCTATTGGGGATTCAGGGAAAACGAAGATGATCTGAGAGTGAGGGAATTGAAAATGCCCATCTTTGAGGGAGCTGATTCACATGGGTGGATAGGTATTTCACTGTCAATGGTTTGACGGAGAATGAGAGGTTGACAGCAGTAGACCTATGTTTGGAGGGGAAGGCCTTGGCTTGGTATCAGTGGAGGGACATGCGACGACCCATACAGAGTTGGAGGTAGTTCAAGGATTGTTTGTTGGAACGTTTCTGAACCAGTAGGGGTGGAGGCTTCTACGAGTAGTTTTTCTTCATGACATGAGGGTTCAGTTATATAGTTACGGAATAGGTTCGAGTACCTTGCTAACCATTTGGACCGTCTTTTAGAGACGGTGTTAGAGGGGAACTTCATGATGGGATTCAAGCCAGAGATCCGAACAACAATTAGGGTGATGAGGCTTCGGGACTTAGGAGATGCTATGGAACTAGCACAATTAGTAGAGGACCAGAGGAAGGGGGAGGCATTACTCTTTCAATACAATCATTCATACAACATTTCAATGATATTTTTTAGCCATCTCAAGGCTTACCTCCACCCAGGGAGCAAGATTACACCATTATCTTGAGGGAGGGTGTCTCACTGATTAGTGTGCGGCCTTATCATTACCCTTAAATTCAGAAGGATGAGATCGAGAAGCTAATCTGGGTGATGTTGGAGGTGGGGTCATCAGACCAAGTGTGAGCCCTTTTTCTAGTCCAGTCTTACTGGTCAAGGAGAAGGATGGAGCTGGAGATTTTGTGTGGATTACAGTGTCTTGAATAAGGAGACTGCACTAGACAAGTTTCCCATTCTGGTGATTGATGAGCTACTGGATGAGCTATGTAGTGCAGTGGTGTTCACCAAAATGGATATGAAGTCGGGATACCAGCATATCAGGTTGGAGGAGGATATTCCGAAGACTGCTTTCACGACACATGAGAGGCATCAAGAGTTCGTAGTGATGCCATTCGGGCTCACAATGGAGAAGTGTTAGGCCTGATGAATCCTTTATTAAGCAACTCTTGCAATTGGTCTTTCAGTTCCTTCAACTCTTTTATGGCCATCCTATAAGGGGCTTTAGCAACCGGATCCGCCCCACTAACCAGCTCAATGGTAAAATCAATCTCCCTGTTTGAAGGCAAGCCATGTAAATCATCTGCAAATACTTCTGGATATTCTTGCACAACAGATATCTCCTCTAATCTCTTCTCTTATTTATTCTCCTCCTTAACATAGGCTAAAAAGCCTTCATAACCCTTCCTCAACAATTTGTATGCCACTAAAGATGAGACTATCATGGAAGTTATGCTTCTTACCCCAATGAATTTAAATTCTTTCTCCCCTGCATACAAAATTTAAGTTCTTTCTTATTATAGTCTATGATCACGAAGTGGCAAGACAACCAATCCATACCTAAGATCATATCAAATTCCATTAATGGAAATAACATAAGATCTGCTCCCAAGTTTTTATCACCTACAATCAATTCCACATAACACTTATTATTGGTTTCCAACTGACTCCCACTAGACATCAAAACTGATAAAGGTTTGAGCATAATTGAAGGAGACAAATCAACAGACTTAACAAACTCCTCCGAAATGAAAGAATGTGATGCTCCCGCATCAAATAACATCTTAACAGGCTTGTTATATACAAAGATTGTTCCTAAATACCATGCATGTAATATAACATAAAACTTATTTTACTCATACATTATAAAGGAAATCATTGACATTAAATAAAGTTAATACCTGTGATAACATCAGGAATGTCTTTTGCTTCTTGTTGGGATAAACCATAAACCCTTGGCTGAACAGGTTGCCGAGCTTGGCCTTGAGATGGAGTTGATGTAGTAGACTCCACCATCCTTGGCCTTCCAACTATCCTCTGAGGAGCACTACCTGTTCTGGCCTCTGGGGTAGACTTCTGTCCCAAGATAGGGCAAGATTTTGCCATGTGCCCTGGTTGATGGCACCAAAAACAGGTATTTGTGCCAGAAAGGCACTCTCCCTTATGAGCCCTCCCACACTTATTGCATATAACAGGAGTGCTGCTCTCTGAAGTGTTTGGCTTAGGCTTCTTCCAATTAGATCTTCCAGATTGAAAAGATTGGGTAGGCTTTGATCTATCTTCATTCTTCCTCTTCTGAAAATCTCTTCTCGCTTGTGCTCATTTTATTCCACTATGACACCCTTACATGACTGTGACAATAGCGACAACGTTCATTAGAGAGGTGGTCAGACTACATGGAGTGCCCGAATCTTTAGTATCTAATAGAGATAAGGTGTTCTTTAGCCATTTTTGGAGAAAGCTATTCAGATTGCAAGGAACAATACTAAAGAGGAGCATCGCCTACCACCCCCAGATGGACGGACAAACAAAAGTCGTGAATAGGAGTTTGGAGACATACCTACGATGTTTTGCTTCCAAGATACCTAGGTTGTGGGCTAAGTGGCTGGCATGAATAGAATATTGGTGCAACACTTCTTATCATTTATCTTCCCAAATGACCCCATTTAAGGTATTGTACGGAATAGAATCACCTCACTTGGTACACTTTGGACAGAGAAGCACATTAGTCTCCTCAATAGAGAAGTACTTTGAGGAAAGAGACGGAGTGTTGGACGAATTGAAGAGGCACTTGCTAAGGGCTGAGCAAATTATGAAGAAGTAGGTGGATGGTTATAGAAGGGACATTCAATTTGAAGTTGGGGATAGTGTGTTCTTGAAGCTGCAACCCTACAGACAGAAGACGCCAGCCAACAGAAAGAATGAGAATCTTGCCCCGTGATACTTTGACCCTTACGAGGTATTGGAGATGATTGGAACAGTGGCCTATCATTTGAGTTTATCTTTGATTGCTATCATATATCTGGTGTTCCATGTGTTACAATTAAGGAGAGCTGTTGAGGATCATGCTGCGAGTTTAGATTTGCCAATGACATTGATTGAGGACTTGGAAGTGATGTTGGAACCACTTGAGCTGAAATGAGTATAACAGGGAGAAGGAGAGATCAAGGAAGCATTGATCAAATTGAGAATCCTACCAGACTACGGTGCTACCTAGGAGCCGTATGAGAGGGTGAAGCATCAGTTCCTCTCTTTTCATCTTGAGGACAATGTGAGTTTTTGGGAGGGAGATATTGTTAGATCGGTCCAGGAGAGCCTGGTCTAGCTGGTCCAGCAAGGTCCGACCCGTTACTACTCTAGGCGGAAGGTTTCTGCCCAAACAACCTCCGCCTCTCCCTATGTGGGGCCCAACAACATGTAATAGCAATTAAGAGGAAATAAAAGGAGATGAGGAGGGAAATTCAAATTAGAAGGGCTGTTTGGGTATTTCACTCAATTAATTGTATGCTTAAGGATGTTTTGAGGCGAAGGTAAGGTTTTATCTCTGATTTTTTCTGAAATTAGGGTTCTTGTGTTCTGAGCGGACTCTAGCGGTGTCTAAAGATTTGGGTGAGGTGGATCTTGCTCTCCAATAGAAGATCCGTTGTATATTGCTGTTTTTCTTCATTTACTTTCAATCCAAAGCTCAATTTCTGGTTTTTCCTACAATATCTTTGCAATTTTAGGACACAATGGATAAAAATGATTCATGTAGCCAACCTCATATAGTGGGATAATGGCTTGTTGTTGTTCTTGTTGTTTGTATCTTTGCAATTTCTGTTTTGCAAATTGCCGGAATTAAATTTCAGCATGGGAATTTCGGAATTTCTACAAACGTTTCAAACTAATACCTACCTTGAGTTTGGCCTTCTCTAGGAAAATAATTTCAAAAGTTCTGCTGTTGTTTATACTATTTGACTTGCAAGTTTTCAAATATTTTAATATGAAGGTGCACATGTTGCTGCTAACTGAATTTTCTCTTGGTTTGGGAGTTGAGTCTAATGCTAAGAATCTTTAACCTTTTCATGTTCTGCAAATATGATAAGACTTATACCACAAGGTTAAGGTTTATGAGTTTTGGAGATATTCTTATGATTACTTTTATTTTCATTTTTTAATTTCTTTCGGCATTCCCTTTCTTCATTCCCTCACGAAATTCTGAATGTTATACAGAGCTGCATCTTTCCCTGAAGCATCACAATCGTTGCAAACTCTCTCTTCAGAAACTGGTTTCCTATATTCTGGTATGCTCATTTTTTCAAGGTGTGGCTGATGCATATTATATAACACGAACACTGAGATACTTTACTTTTCAGGTGAATCTGAATCTATACCTTTGTGGAGGCTTCATTATTATCAATGGGCAATGCTAATCTTTGATCAATATGCCTTGAGTGAGGGCGCTTGTCAATTTGCTCTTGCTGCTCTAGAGCAAGCTGATGAAATTCTTGCACTGAAAGATGACAATATGGATGATGACTTTCTTCCTGAACCCGCCTCTACAATCCGCGGCCGGTTGTGGGCAAATGTCTTCAAGTTTTCTTTGGATCTTAAGAATTATAGGGATGCTTATTGTGCCATAATATCAAACCCAGATGAGGAAAGCAAATATATTTGTCTTAGGCGGTTTATCATCGTTCTTTGTGAGCATGGTGCCACCAAGGTTGTTTCTTTCTACTACTAATGTTGCAATATTTGTTCTTATATGATTTATATCAACTTCTTGCAATTAATTTCACATAAGTGTGCACATAAGTAGTTGGCACAAGTCATTGTACATTTGCATAAGCATGCCTTCCCAACTACATGCATTTGCGGGTTATTTATATTGAGAACTTCTGTTTTTGTAGCGAGATCAATTTGACCAGTGTTACCTACTAAAGTTTGCTAGAAATGTTTGATAACTAGGTTCATAAAATGCACAGTTTATGATCAAGTTGAGTTTGATTTATGCAGCCTTAACCTTACATCTTAACAACTAACCATCATGTCATAATCAATATTTTCAAAGTGCTAAGCATAATGTAATGTGTTAGGGTTCCTTTTTTCTTCAATGCACAAAGTGAAGCAATGCTTTACAAACTAAAGCATTCATGATTTGTATATCATATATACATATATTATGTGCATACAATAGCCATTCAGTAGTCAAATTTAAGTTACGTTAGGTAATAATTTTCAACAAATGTAATCATATATCAATAATGATAATTTTCAACTATTTAGAAGCAAAAAAAAAATCAAAGAAATAAATAATGAAGTGTTGAAATAGCATCTAAAAGTCAAGAATACTTATGAGATTGAGTGATCAACTAGAGACCGAGAGTTAAATGAGGCGTGAAGTTGGAAAAGTGTGAAAATGTGGAATTGAGAAACAATCTTGGGAAGAATCTCATGAGTTAGAAGCTAGTAGTGCCAATAACAAGAAACAGAGAAAAGTATATAAGAATACTAGGTAGAGAGAAAGTGTGAAGGAAATAACCACCAATAAGTAACTAGCTCTAGTGGGAGAGAATTAAGAACCCATGAAGAGCGACTCAATGACTGATAAATAATTAGAAAAAGTGAATGTTCGTGCCCGCATCAAACTATGAAATTTAAACTAAGATTTTGTTTTGGGCCGGTATGCAATGCTACAATGCAATGTGGTGAAGCGATGCTACATATGCACCTTTTTGTGAGCGTGCACTTCACAATTAAGCAATTTTCAAAGCCGGTGCATTGCTTTGTTTTATTTCTCTTCAGTCCTAAAGTAGTCCTAAAGTGTGTGCATTTAAAAATATTGGCCATAATAAGGTAACAATTACCATGACTCCATTCCCGCCCTTTTATCCTTGCTAGGTTCTTTGTTTGCAAGTAACTATTAAATGTATTCTCTTTTGGCATGGGGTGAGGCTCCAAAACTTGAAATTTTAATTCATTGTAGCATGCTTATCAATTATTGATTTGGATTTTGAGGGCTTAGTGGTTGTAGATATTTTCTAGGTGGCAGGGTTCGGTTATTGAGATGACCTCCTAGCAAATGCAGGTGCTAGTTTGAGCATATGAACCATGCACCAAACATTGAATTAGCGGGGAGCTTCATGCATTGGCGCATGACATGCTTTTTTATGTGGTGGAGAAGGCCCCTTGTGATAGGAGTAAAATTAGCCATTGCTACTAATAAATAATATGCTTGATATATATATGTTTACATCTATTTATTTATATTCAACAATACTTTTATCATTATATGTACCGTGACTTATCAAACCTTACCTTTTTGCCTTGTTCTATTACGAAAGCATTCATGGATTGATAGTTTATTCTAATGGATCTATTGCCATGAAATCCATAAGCTTTGAATTATAGATGTGCTCGGCAAAACTTACATTGCCATCTGTTTTATCATAGGTGTTGAATATTTGAAAAAGAGAAATTGTTTTTTTTTTTTATTATTATGGCTTTATAACTTTGATTTTCATCATTCTTATTATCTTGGAGTTGGTCTTATGAAAATCTCATTCCCCATTCATTCAAATTGATTGTTATATTTTGATTGTTAAGTAGGAGTTAATTTGCAGTAATCTTATAGGACAATTCTATGTCACTATTGGTCTACATTTGTTTCATCTGCATTTCTAGCATATTTAATTTATTTATCAAGCTTTATTGATTTTAAAATGTACAATAGAGAGCACAAAATGCTCCAATAAGATAGTTAATTTGACTAATTAATTAATAGGAATTTAAAATTTCTAATTAACTAATCTAATTAATAAATTAAATAAAATTAAAACATTAATTTAATTAATCATTTAATCAATCTAATTAACTAAGCGTAGAAGGGATGATCGGGACACTCGGCAGGACCACCTCCTTGGGGAATGGGAGGTTATGGAGGAAACTGGGGAAACAGAGGAAATTCGAGGGTGATGAAGCTGAAGATTTCTATTTTTGAGGGAGATGATGCATATTAGTGGATCTGCATTGTGGAAAGATACTTTGTCGTCAATAGGTTAATAGAAGATGACTGTGTTTGGAGGGGAAAGCATTAGCATTGTCTCAGTGGAGAGATATAAAGCAGCCTATATGAATCTGGAGGGAATTTAAGGTCTGCTTGTTGGAACATTTTCGAACCAGCAGGGGAGAGGATTTCTATGAACAGTTCTCCCCTCTGACGCAGGAGGGGACAGTGGTGGAGTACTGTGAGAGGTTTGAGTACCTGGTCAGCCGATTGTACCAGCTATCGGAGATTGTACTGGAAATGAACTTTATGAAATGGCTCAAACAAGAGTTTCGATCGACAGTTAGAGTGATGAGGCCTCATGATTTGGGAGAGGCTATGGAGTTAGCCCTGTTAGTGAAGGATCAGAGACACTTGGAGGGAGATGATAGAGGCAATAGCTCAGGAGGTTCGTACAGAATGACCACCATCTTTTTGGCATGCAAGGGGCTGACATAGATATTATTAGGGAGACCCCTCAAAGGAGAAGACTGTAGGAGGGAGACATAGAGGAACTTCAAGAAGTTCACTACGATGGAGTTACAGGTGAAGAGGGCAAAGGGGTTGTGTTTCAAATGTGATGAGAGATATACACCAGTGCACAAGTGTGAGGATCGAACTCTTCAGGTTCTCACCGTCTATGATGATGATGAAGCTGAGGGAGGTGGGAGTGAGGCAATGGTAGTGGAGGAGGAAGAGCTGCATTTAGATGTGGCACGTCTCCTTGAGCTCAGTGGTGAGATTCACTCTTAAATTACTCCATGAAACTAAAAAGATAGCAGATAGGGAGGTATTAGTGCTGATAGGCAGTGGGGCTATCTACAATTTCATCTCTAACAAGGTTGTGAACTAATTATAGGTGAAACTGGTGGACATAGGGTGTTACAGGGTGATGATGGGCTCAAGAAAAGCAAAGATAAGAAGAGGAGGGCGTAAAGGGGTGGTTCTGACCATACAGGGGGTCCAAGTGTGGGAGGACTTCCTTCCATTGGAGTTAGAGAGCGTTGACGTCATTTTGGGATGAAATGACTGCAAACCTTGGGAGACAATAAGGTCAATTGGGGAGCACTGATGATGGAAGTGATGGTGGAGGGAAGAAGGGTGGTGATAAGGGGAGATGCAGGGTTATTCAAAGCCATGGTTTCTCTTAAAAGCATGGTGAGGACCATAATGAGGCAGGGGAGGATTTCTGGTGGAGTTGCAGAGTTTAGAGGGAGTTAGGTTGGAGGAGGGGGGGAGAATTCCCTCTTTCAGTACATCCGTTGATACATCAATTCAATAAGGTCTTTCAACTTCCTCAGGGATTGCCACCACTGAGGGAGAATGAGCATGTCTTCACCTTAAGGGAGGGGGTGTTACCGATTAGTGTTAGGCCTTATCGATACCTCAAATTTGGGAGATGTTGGAGGCAGTAATCATCTGGCCGAGCGTAAATTTTTTTTCCAGCCCAATCTTACTGGTCAAGAAGAAGGATTGGAGTTGGCAATTTTGTGTAGATTGCTGGGCCCTAAATAAGGAGATTGTGTTCAGACAAGTTTCCTATTCCGGTGATAGACGATTTGCTGGATGAGTTATGTGGAGTAGTGGTGTTCCCAAAGATGGATATGAAGTCTGAATACCATCAGATTAGGATGAGAGAGAAGGATGTCCCAAAGATTATTTTTCGGACACATGAGGGACATTATGAGTTCTTGATAATGCCATTTGGTCTCACCTACGCTCCTGTTACATTCCAATCCCTCATGAATAAAGTGTTCTGACCTTACATAAGGATATTTGTACTAGTTTTCTTTGATGATATCCTTGTGTATAGTAAGTCAGACGAGGTGTATTTGGAGCACTTAAGGGGTCTGTTAGAGATGTTATAGGAGCATCAGCTGTGAGCCAACCTGAATAAGTGTTGCTGTGTACAACCTAGTGTGGGGTACTTGGAGCACATGGTATCTCAGGAGGGGTGATCGTTGATCAGGTCAAGATTGACGCTATGCTGAAATGGCTGCTACTTAGGACTCTGATGGAGCCGAGAGATTTCCTAGGGTTGTCTGGGTACTACAGAGGTTTGTGAGGGGATACAATACTATAGCTTGGCCACTGATGGAGCAGCTGAAGATGGATAACTTTATGTGGGAAGAGGCAGCTACCCAGACCTTTAAGAGACTTAAGAAGGCTATGATCACTATATCGATCCTCGCCTTACGAAATTTTAATCAGGTTTTTATGGTGGAGACTGATGCATCGGGGTATGGATTGGGGGCAGTTCTCATGTAGAATCATATACCTGTAACTTACTTCAGACAGGTGTTGACAGTCAGAGCTATGTTAAAGTCAGTCTATGAGAGAGAGTTGATGGTCATTGTGTTGGCCATTCAGAAGTGTTAGTCTTACTTACTGGGTCGACATTTCATTATTAGAATAGACCAAAGGAGATTGAAGTACCTGTTAGAGCCGAGGATGGCAACCGAGGAGCATTTTTGAGATCCATTATAAGCTAGTGCTAGAGAATAAGGTGGCTAATGTCTTGTCTAGATGCATGGGAGAGCTCCAGGAGTAAGTCATTTCGATACCACTGATGTTGGATTTGGGGGCAATGAAGAAGGAGAGCGCTCAGGATGAGGAATTGAGAGGGATTAGGGCTGTTCTGCTGAAGGATGAGAGTAGCCATCCTAGAGGGAGAGAGG